ACGGCAAGTAATGACCCGCCTCCCGGCTTCCTGAGGCGGGTCATCCCCGTTACCTCCAGGCATAAAGGACGTCCCCGTTCCCTCCAGGCATAAAGGACGTCCCCGTTCCCTCCAGGCATAAAGGACGTCCCCGTTCCCTCCAGGCATAAAGGACGTCCCCGTTCCCTCCAGGCATAAAGGACGTCCCCGTTCCCTCCAGGCATAAAGGACGTCCCCGTTCCCTCCAGGCATAAAGGACGTCCCCGTTCCCTCCAGGCATAAAGGACGTCCCCGTTCCCTCCAGGCATAAAGGACGTCCCCGTTCCCTCCAGGCATAAAGGACGTCCCCGTTCCCTCCAGGCATAAAGGACGTCCCCGTTCCCTCCAGGCATAAAGGACGTCCCCGTTCCCTCCAGGCATAAAGGACGTCCCCGTTCCCTCCAGGCATAAAGGACGTCCCCGTTCCCTCCAGGCATAAAGGACGTCCCCGTTCCCTCCAGGCATAAAGGACGTCCCCGTTCCCTCCAGGCATAAAGGACGTCCCCGTTCCCTCCAGGCATAAAGGACGTCCCCGTTCCCTCCAGGCATAAAGGACGTCCCCGTTCCCTCCAGGCATAAAGGACGTCCCCGTTCCCTCCAGGCATAAAGGACGTCCCCGTTCCCTCCAGGCATAAAGGACGTCCCCGTTCCCTCCAGGCATAAAGGACGTCCCCGTTCCCTCCAGGCATAAAGGACGTCCCCGTTCCCTCCAGGCATAAAGGACGTCCCCGTTCCCTCCAGGCATAAAGGACGTCCCCGTTCCCTCCAGGCATAAAGGACGTCCCCGTTCCCTCCAGGCATAAAGGACGTCCCCGTTACCTCCAGGCATAAAGGACGTCCCCGTTACCTCCAGGCATGAAGGACGTCCCTCTTAATTCCAGGCATAAAAGAAGTACCCCTTACTGCCAGGTATGAAGGTCGTCCCCCTACTTCCAAGTATGAAGGATGCACCCTTACTTTCTGGTATGAAGGGCCATGGTACTTACTCTAGCACTAGGGCAGATTTTTGTCTCTGGACACAGACTGCATCCAAGGACGATCATCTGTCCCTAACTGCAGGTGGTGCCTGATTACATCCGAACAGCTGCAGCCGTCAACCTGTCATTGCATTGTATAGGCTGAGCGGCAGCAGCCATTCGCACACACTTGTGATTCTGGCCGGAGGAATCCGGAGCTTCCTGCAGCCAGAATCTGGAGATCTCAGGTGTGAATGGAACCGAAATGCAAGCGGTGATACACGAAACAGAAAAGAGGACGTTGCATAGCAAAGGCTTTGGAAAGTACATTCCCGGTGACCCTGTGAGGTGCTCTCTTTACTCCGGCTGCACTGGCTCAGAGTACTGATTCACCATTCGTTTTATTTGTTGCCTGAAATTTCCCTCTAGGGAGAGGAAAGTAATGAGTAAGAATACGGCTGACGCTTCCATGTGTCATGTGCTCCAAGGAAGCCTGCAGTCTTTGATCATCATGTGATCAGGTGATGTCACAGCCGGCTAATTATAGAACTTCTGAATCACATCCAATGTTGTAATAGAAATGAATTCACAAGTATTGAATCTGTGTATCAGCTGACAGGACGAATTGCTCAATGTATACGCAGAGCTGAACCCGCCAATAAACCACAATAGCAATCCAATACAAAAGCCTCACCAATGACTCTCCAGACCCAGGCAAAGCTTAAAGAGCATGTACAGTCATTTTTGGAATTCGTTTTGGAGAGTCGGTAAGAGTTAAAAACTATGTAAGGCTATTTTTTGCTGTTTGGGTCCCATGGATTTAAAGCTGAACTTTTGCCCCGCCCCCTTTCAGTCTTGCACAGTTGTAGCGGCTCCTCTCCTGGACTGAAATGGCTTCCTCTGATTTCACTGCACACTGCCAGCTTCTCACTAGGGATGCACCGATACTAGTATTGATATCGGTGCTGATACTGAGTATTGGGGTAAGTACTCGTACTCGCCCAAATGCTCTGATACCTTGCTCCAGATACCGGAACTGGCAGTGCCGTGAGGGAACATGGAGCCGGCTTCCCGGCCAATCAGGTCGCAGCCAGGCTTCCTGATAGGCCGGGAAGCCGGCTCCTTGCGGTTTGGTCAGCTCAATGCTAATTAACTGCAAAGCCGGCTTCCCAGCCAATCAGCATCGAGCCGGCCAAAAAGCATGAAGCCGGCTTCCCGGGCAATTAAGAAGCCATGCGGTGTGTCATTTCCGGCCGGCCGCCTTCTTGATTGCCTGGGAAGCCGGCTCCATGCTACGAGAAGTACCAGTATTCGGCATCAGGAACTACCGAAATATAAATATCCGTATTGTAACCGAAAAATCGGTATCGGTGCATCCATACTTCTTACAATGAGCATTAGAAGATGCAGCAAGTAAGAGAGCTCATATCATTTCCTGGCTGGAGGACATCTAGTATCCTCATTCTCTTTCCTCCCCAGCCTGACTGTCCCTGGCCCGCCCCTTTTATTCATTGGATTTCAGTTCTTTCAATCATGGAGGCTCGGCATCACATGTGGGTGTTACCTAGAGTGACCTGGATGTAAATACAGTCTGCCTAGGAGCGCCCACTCCTTCAGACTGACACCCACCCATCAATACATTTTGCATACCTCCTCCAAAGAGCCAACCCACTGCTTGCATCACGGGCTGAGGGCTCTTGAGGAGTACTGAGGCTGGGTGCAGTGATGGTTTCAGGAAGCTACGTACAGCACCCTGCTGGCCCCTCCCACCAGCAATGATCTGGCTGCATTGCATGGAGAAGCAGAGACCCAGTGATGATGTCACTAGGTCTAAAATAAAGTATGTAATGAAACGAAAAGGTTCTATGTAAATATATAAATAGCACAAGGCTGGACAAATCCCGGGAGCCAGGTCACCAATGCTCCTTCAAAATTACAGCTGGTGCCCAATTTTTGTGGTTTCCTCTAGTTGTTGTCAATGGAGCTGGCTACTGGATTGGACAGACTAGCTCTGGGATTGGGCAGACTGGCTACCGCGATTGGGCAGACTGGCTACCGCGATTGGGCAGACTGGCAACCGCGATTGGGCAGACTGGGCTCCTGGGATTGGGCAGACTGGGCTCCTGGGATTGGGCAGACTGGGCTCCTGGGATTGGGCAGACTGGGCTCCTGGGATTGGGCAGACTGGCTTCCGATATCCATATTAATGCGTCCATCCCTGAAATAGATTATTGATGCTGGGGTTGGGAGACGCAGGAAGGTGAGCCCCATAGGCTATACTGAGCAAGCGCAGCTCCCGCACTCCTTTTGTCTAGAGGGGGGGATCAGAAAACGCAACTATCACCTCATTGCTCACTACAGCATACTTCCTCCCAACTACACGATCACCCCCCTGACGGGCGCACTCTGACATCATCACCACATACAATGCAGGACCAGTTGTCCTCCATCGTAAGTGAGCGTGCCAAGTGCCGCTCACATCCCAGGAGCATTGAAGAGAAAAGTGCCGCTATCATTATCTCCCCAAGGAGTCCATCCCTAATGCAGAACTTAAAAATACTTGGGAGCAGGAAGAATTTCCTTTGCATGCCATAGACAAACTATGTGCTATAAAGGCTTCTTGCCTTCTTCCTTGCAAGGTGATTTTGCCCAGGGTGTAGGCAACCTCTGCACTCCAGTTGTGGTGGAACTACAAATCCCATGAGGCATTGCAAGGCAGACAGCCAGAGGCATGACTCCCAGAGCCAGGAGCATGATGGGATTTAGAGTTTCAGCACAGCTGGGGGCTGAGGTTGCCTACCCCTTGCTTTAGGATGTGCACAGCTCAGAGAACATTCACGGCACACAATACCGGGATGAATGAACTCTTGCGAGCATGCGTCATCCTGTGCTGGCCAATCAAGACAGAAGACCCTAAACCCAGAAGAAGCCGGACAGTATATGTGAAGTACCTCAAGAACATAGGATGCCCTTTTCGCAGCTCCCCCTCCTACCAAGCGCCCAAGGCAGTGGCCTCTCATGCCAGCCCCTCGGGCCACATTTAAATTGTCTACAGACAACAGGGGTGTCATCACTTCTGTCCTCTGGGGGTCCCATAAACAGGTATGCTTGACCAAGCCGTACACCTATTGAGGCAGAGCAGCCAGGTGCCTCTGATGCCACATATTTCAGGGGATAATTCTTGCAATCAGACGCTGTCTTTAAACCTGTTCTGTTACTCATTTCCCCCAATGGGGCTCCAGCTAACGACACAATGATAAAAAGAAAAATACATTGGCATAGATTTAAGAAAGCGACAATATCGTATATGATTATATTTACACTCAGGTCCCTGTTTTGCTATAATTTCCCATCAACACAAGGACTACAACCCCTAGCAGGGCCTGAGGGTTGTGCTCAGACTTGTAGTCCCCACCACACAGCAACAGGTTGCCTCCCCTTCTTAAATGTTCTACATACTCACCCCGAGGGCCCTGACTTCTCACTCTGGTGGTGTGGCCCCTGCACAGCTCACCCCAGCACCCTCAGAGTCCCAGCCAAGCTCTAATAACACAGCAGCTCTCTTCCTGGTTGTGACACTTGAAGGAAGTCTCCACCCTGCCGGCTCAGTCACTGCTGTGGGAGGGAAGCCACGTGATTAATGCACCCAGACAGGTAAATATGACAGGGCCTCGTCTGCGCATGTGCGCAGCTCTCGCCGTCAGGTCATGATACATATTTCTGGGCGTGTCTGCAGGGACACGCAGAGCCGTGGCCTCCTCCTGTCCCCGCCTCTAGAACAATCCGATGATGTCATGCTACAGACGAAGGCGCGGTGCGCATGCGCAGCACTCCCGCCTCCAAGCAGAAGCTGTCGTCTGGGAAACGACGCGGCGTGCTGGATGTATATATAGGTGGGCGGGGTTCGTGTATTTTTCCCCCACCAATCCGTAACCTCGACAAAGTGAAAGAGGCGGGGTTTCATGGTAAGACAGAGGCTTGGGACGCACAGATTGGACGGGAAGTTTAGGGATTGGGCGGGGTTAGCTAAGGGGCGGCGGGTTTTACTGTCCCTTCGAGTGATGGGCTTGGCCGAGGAGGAGGGGCAGCAGCAGCATCTGCAGGCAGCAGGGGGGGGAGCCGGTGTCGGTAGCTCCCGGAGGATGCAGACCTGAGAGAGGCCGCCCAGTGTCCAGCCATGACTGAGCGGAACAAGATCCTGAATAAGTGGAACGCAAGCTTCAGGAAGGGCACCGACTTCGACTCGTGGGGGCAGCTGGTGGAGGCCATCGATGAGTACCACATGTAAGTGCGGGCATGGTGATGGGGCTTCTTGGAATACGCTCCCCCTCAGTGCTGGGCAGAGACAGGTGATGGGGGTCCATGGGATCCCCTCCCCCCTTAGTGCTGGGTACAGCCAGGTGATGGGGGTCCATGGGATCCCCACCCCTTAGAGCTGGGTGCAGCCAGGTGATGGGGGCCCATGGGATCCCCTCCACCCCTCACTGCTGGGTGCAGCCAGGTGATGGGGGCCCATGGGACCCCCTCCACCCCTCACTGCTGGGTGCAGCCAGGTGATGGGGGCCCATGGGACCCCCTCCACCCCTCACTGCTGGGTGCAGCCAGGTGATGGGGGCCCATGGGATCCCCTCCACCCCTCACTGCTGGGTACAGCCAGGTGATGGGGGCCCATGGGATCCCCTCCACCCCTCACTGCTGGGTGCAGCCAGGTGATGGGGTCCCATGGGACCCCCTCCACCCCTCACTGCTGGGTGCAGCCAGGTGATGGGGGCCCATGGGATCCCCTCCACCCCTCACTGCTGGGTACAGCCAGGTGATGGGGGCCCATGTGATCCCCTCTAAATTGGCATAGTTTTAAAGGATATTTAAACCCTCCCGTTTTTTTGCATATATCTAGTGCTAGCAAGCAGTAGATATATGTAAAAACGCTCAAACAGCAGTTTAGACTCACCTGTGTTCCGTGCGCGGTCCCGAAAATGATACATTTCTCCAGCGGCCGCAAAGGATCTTGGGGAGCGCGCATGCGCAGTTTTCATTTTTGGATGGGACGCGACGAGGGACGCAAGGTAGGTCTATAGACGGTGCACCCGCATGCAGACACCGCTGGATCGGAGGGACAGAGCAGTCAGCGCTGGATCGGAGAGCCGCCGCACCGCTGGAGAGAAGGCTGAAAACATCAGGAAAGAAGAGGAAGATCGGAAAAAGAGACATCATTTAAGGTAAGTGCTGACATTGTCATGGGGGGGGGGGGAACAAAATTTGCCTTTAATGTCACTTTAAGAAAGCGACAATATCGTGTGTGACCATATTTACATTCAGGTCCTTGTTTTGTTATAATTCCCCATCAACACAAGGGCACAGACAGGTGATGGGGGTACATGGGATCCACTCCCCCCTCAGGGCTGGGCACAGACAGGTGATGGGGGTACATGGGATCCCCTCCTCCCCCCCCTCAGTGCTGGGGGTACATGGGATCCCCTCCTCCCCCCCTCAGTGCTGGGGGTACATGGGATCCCCTCCTCCCCCCCTCAGTGCTGGGGGTACATGGGATCCCCTCCTCCCCCCCTCAGTGCTGGGGGTACATGGGATCCCCTCCTCCCCCCCTCAGTGCTGGGGGTACATGGGATCCCCTCCTCCCCCCCTCAGTGCTGGGGGTACATGGGACGCTCAGTGCAGAGATGCCCCCTTACGTTGGCGCTCAGTGCAGAGATGCCCCCTTACGTTGGCGCTCAGTGCAGAGATGCCCCCTTACGTTGGCGGTCATTCTGCCCCTAGTGATGTCGGTGTGAGATCATTCTGTTACTGCTCGAATAACCTGAAGACAATTTAGTTGAGAGGCGGTTCTGGATGCTCCTGACTGCCATTACTCTTCTTACAGTATCAAAGGCAGAACAAACCGCCATGATATGTGTAAGATGCACCACCAGCACCACATCACAGCCAGTCGTGTCCTCTAAAGGCACAAAACTGCAATATTCGGTTTCTGTGGATGGCAGCACTTTGTCCATCATCTTTGCTTCAAATAGGTCAGCCAGTTAGTTTCTAATTTATGTGGAAATCTAGTGGGCTAGATATTTATATAGCTCATGTATTTTACAGGATCCTGTTACCCATTAAATTTTCTAAAAAATATTTTGTGTTTTTAATATAAAAAAAAAATACAAATAAATATATATTACAGGTATTTATATAGCGCCGGCAATTTACGCAGTGCTTTACATCGCGCACATTCACATCAATCCCTGCCCTCAAGGAGCTTACATTCTGGGGTCCCTATCTCGCATACATACAAGGGCCAAATTAGAGAGGAGCCAATGAACCTTCCAGCATGTCTTTGCAGTGTGGGAGGTAACCAGAGTACCCAGAGAAATCCCACACAAGCACAGGGAGGACATGCAAACTCCATGCAGATAGTGACCTGGCTGCGATCCAAACCAGGGACCCCCAGTGCTAATCACTACGCCACTGTGCTGCTCCATAAAGCTCTTCTGTGTGCCCCTCTGTATATGGTTTCACTTTGTTTCTATCACTTAAAGTGACATAAAAGTCACAAATTGTATCCCCCCCGCCCCAATGCTGGTGTGAGGACTTACCTTAAATGATGCCTCTTGATTCGATCATCTTCTTCTTCTTCCTTCCACTTGTATTCAGCAATTCCTCCAGCGCTGGTGTCGGTCTGATCCAGCGCTGGCTGCTGCGTCTTCCGGTCCCACGGTGTCTGCCGGCTGCCTACATTGACTTACACTGAGTTTCTCCTCTTCTCCCCGCCAAAGGTCTCTACTGCACATGCGCCCGCCCCATGACTCTACTCAGCCGCGCATGAAGCTCCAGATCTTCAGACAGGAGTGAGCGGTGGTGACTTTAAACATTTTTTTTTTTTTTACATGTTTTTGCATATCTACCGCTTGCTATCAGTAGATATATGCACAAAAAAAGTCGAGAGTTTAATTCTACTTTAACCACTTGCTGGCCAGGGTGTTTATACCCCCTTCCTGACGAGTGCCATTTTTCAGTATTCAGCGCTGCGGTACTTTGGCTGTCATTTATTCCGTCATGCAACGCTGTACTGAAATGATTTTTATACCATTTTTGGGGACAGATAGAGCTTTCTTTTGGTGGTATTTAATCACCACTACGGGTTTTTTTTTTTTTTTTTTTT